TTACCAATGATGATGAAATTTTATCCTGAAAAACTATTCTTCTTGTAATATTATCAACTCACTATCATGATACCAACTGAGCTAAACTTTTTTTGAAACATTTTTCTTTCCCTTAACATGCAAAGTTTCAGCTCTTTTTCATTTCATATTATTATCATTACTTTTTTTTCTGTCTTGCAATTTAAATCATTCAAGTCATCAAAATGATAATCATCATCATCATGCTGCTGATGATGAACAGGAAAAAAACCCAGAGAGTGAGACCCATTAACCGAGTAATTGTTTCATTTGAAAAAAAAACCAGGATGAACCATGAATTTATTCATGATGTTATCATGAAGATCACAAATCAACTGAAAGAGTTTTTTATTTTCAAATTTTCATTTCATTCTTAAACTTTGTCTTCATTGGAAGATAATAATAATAATGATATTAATAACAATATAATCATTTTGTAATCAAATGCTCAACTCAAATTCTGTCATCTAATCATCATGATTGATTATAATCACTTAATCATCTTGCTGATGATGATGAAATAAAATTCATATGAAAAGTGTTGGTTTACCAATCAGAGAATCATGAATTATCATGAATTATCATGAATTGATGTTGAAACTTTTTTTTCCAAAGGTGAGAAAGTGATAAAATTATTCCAATGGTATTCAGACAATTAGAAGTTAACAAAAAATAATCAAAGTATCATGATAATAATAGTTAATGATAATTGCGATTGTATTAATAATCTACCAGCAACAACATGAAACAATTTAAGTGGAAGAGATTTAATTAACTAACTGGATTGAATCTCTCATTGCAAAAGCTTTTCTAATTTAATTAACATCAAATGAAATTCAGTGTTTTTGATAATCAAATGAGATTAAGAGTTCTGAGTAGTAATAGTTGAGTAAGAACATGAAAAAAAAGCTAAATAAATGTTGTAATTTCAAGTTACCCATAAGTTTCTGTGTATCTAAACTCAATATGCCAAGGAAAATGTTGATTAAACTTTGCAAGCTGATTAATTGTAAGAGTTAAATTTGTAAATTGTTTGACAACTAATTTACTTTGATTGCAATTTAGAAAATAGCAATTAAGTTTATATTTGTTAGTGAATTCAAAGTCAATTCAAATTATCCTTTGGATTCTTCAACTTTTTTTGTTTGTCACAATTTTCTGAAAATCATAATATTACATTTCTAATCAATATCCTCAATGGATTATGACAAATATTTGATTATTCATTAAGATAAATTAGTTGATCATAATGAGAGAGAATACTTTTTCATATATAATAATAAGTATATACATTTGATTACGATAATAACGATAAAATAAATTACCAATTAAATAGAGATGCAAATGACGATGATTAGGAATTGCAATTACAATTGATTAGCTTTTTTTTCATTCTATTTATGAATTTATCTGAATACCTTTTTTTTTGATAATCTCATTTTCATCAATGATATTCACCATGGTACAATGAATATCATATGACCGATAAAAAGTGAACCATTTTCATGAAACTCAGTGAACTTTTTTTTCTGGATTTATATACATATGAATACAGGGTAACATTGATTTCCAATAATAATAGTTGAGTGTGAGTGTTTATATGAAAATCTCTGAATCTCTGAGGAGTTTTCAATTTACTGTTATTGTCTTAATAACGGTAAATATATAAAGAGTAACATTAAATCACTCATGTAATCATTACCATGATTATATTTACTTAAATCTATTGAACAATGATGATAATGATTATGTTAAAAGGTAAAATGATTTATAAAGTAAAAGTGAAAACTTTGTTTATTTTGTTATTAAATTTCAGGTATCAAATTATTTTAATATCACAAAGGGTCATCTTCATTTTCAACTGACCCTTTCACCCAGAATCTATTGTGTGTGTATTAATATTTACTCAGGATTTTGGTTACATTTACAATCTTTGACCATGTTGAATGATATATACATTGTAAATAGCTTCCAATGTATTACTGGTCAGTTGTGGTGGTGATAGTGGTCAACTTTTGTAGGATTAATTGTTTTTACTTTTTGTGTACTTGGAGAAAGAGAGAGAGAGAGAGAGAGAGAGAGAGAGAGAGAGAGAGATAAAGAGTAGATTTATACAATTAGAATGACCATTGGTCACTAATAAAGAGATTAATCTTGAGCTGGGAAAGTTTTCGTCAAACTGATGAAATTTTCTCAAAGTGACATGTTGTCCATTCGGTTTCTTTCTCTTTCTTTTTATTGAGCTTGACCAGTAGATCCAATGAATGGATATATAGCCTTAGAACTTTTTTTTTCTTGATTCGCTTTTTCTTATTTCTTTTCTATGGAATCTTTCCCCCCTTTCCTCTCAACAAAAACTGACCAGTATCCATCTTGATAACATTTAGCTGATGAGATTTATTATTATGTACTTTATCATTTCTTGTTTTCAATGAGTAATATATGTTTGACCATTTCCCCTCCCTTCCCAGTCAATTTTGTTTGACCAGTTTGTCTGTTGATTTGTGTGTCTTATCAACATTAACATCATCACTGAATTGTGTAGTTGTGGTCAACCGCTTGGTCAGTAGTTAAGACATACATTTGTTGACATCTCTCTCTCTCTCTCTCTCTCTCTCTCTCTCTCTCTTCTCTCTCGTTTTTGCTTTTGACTCACAGTGAAAACGGAAGGAAAGACAAAAATGAAAACACATTCAGAAAATGAATCTAAAAAAGTGTGAGGTAAAATCATCATAAGATTGAAATCAATATCATTATATAAGGTAAACAACAAGATAAACATATAATCTAAGATATATATCATCATGTTTACTGTACTCAAAACATATTATATTGACATGGGGTGGGAGTGAATACCCCACCCTCTCCGCATCCAGTTGATGCTTTTTTTTCTTGTTGTGTTTCTTGTTCAATGTTTACACAATCAGCTGAAGTAATAATGATATTAATAATACTCCAATAGTACAAGGAGTTAGTTGTTTTTTTCTTTCGCTCCCAAAATTCTCGGTGTATATTCTGAATATATATCTATCTTTTCATGGTGGAATTTATTTTCTCCTCCTTTTCCCTCCTACTTTTCCCACTCTCTTTCTCTGTATTATATCAGAACAGAACTTTTTTTTTCGTTGTTTTCTCTTTTGCTTATGTATAATGCATTTAATTTGGAGCATTTTTCTTTTTCCTTTTCTACTTATCTTTTCCACCGGTGTAAATGCTCAGATTCTGACTGATTCAGTTCACATGCTGAGTGTGTTTTCACCTTACATGATTACCTCACAACTGATATTCATCATTTAGGTTACCCTTTCTAAATTGAGCTTGGTTATTTAAAGATTACAATCAAATGTTTGTTTGTTTGTTTGTTTTTCATGGAGAAAAATATGATTGGAGTGAATTTTTGTTATTCCTCCATTTCCATCCTCTTTCAAGAGGAATAATTTTTCTCATATTCTGATTCTTGAAGTTTCCTTTTATCCTTTATCATCATCATGCTTGTTTTTCCGGTTTCCGAATCAAGTTAACTGGTCTTTTCCTTGAGATGAGTTTTTTTCACTTCGTTTCCGGGTTCCATCAACTTTCTGCCTTCTTGACAACTTATTGACCAAAAAAAAGCAAAGTGGGTTCAGTGGGTGGATGAACGAGTGGAAAAGTATAGTCTGCTTGGTTTAATCTATTTCTCCCTCCCTGATGATAGTATTATTATCATGACTATCAACTATCATCTGTAAATCAGAATTGAAACTCAAATTGTAATATGTTCTGATAGGAAAAGAGAGAGAGAGAGACTAATATTTTCCAATCAACTGATCACCATGTTACTGATATATAATATCAAATAGTATCAGTAACAATGATGATGAAAATAATTCTGATAATAATAATAATCATAAACATGATATTCAATCAAGCTGAATAACATTATTCATGAAAATAAATTGCATACCATGAAAATGGAAGGAAAAATGTGTCCACAAATTCTGAGTCAAGAATTTTCTTCATCTTCTTTTTTTCCTATCCGATCAGCATCATGACAATATCTCTCTCTCTCTCTCTCTCTCTACTTGATCACTTTCCTTTTTCTATCTCTTTTTCTGTCTATCTTCATCTTCTTCAATCATCATCATCATCATTATTATTATCATCAAACTCATTCATTTCTCCATCATCATTTTCATACAGACTCATCACCATCTTCCTCCATCTTCCCACCCTCAACATGACAAAATGCATCAACTAAATAAAATCTTTCTCTCTCTCTCTTTCTTTTTCTCTCTCATCTATCTTCACAATCATCATCCTGTGTACTCTCATTCATATCTATTTGTTTTCCTGGTTGACACTCCAATGGCAAAACCATTATCCTGATACAATGATGAACAAATTGATGATAACCCAATTTTTTATACATCCAATGGCTCCTATTTACCACCCCATTCTCATTATTATCACTGTTTACTGTTGATTCGATTGCACTTTTTCACAACGGGACATCATCATCATCATCATCTTATCTTCATCTTTATCATGAACCAATTTACCCTACTGTTATTTTCTTCCCCCAATTCCTGACATCACTTGACTTTTTCCCTCTTCCTTTTCCTTTTTCATCTTCTCCCTCCTCTCCTTCTCCTCCTCCTTCACTGATTGTTATCTAATGATAATGGTGGTTATCATCATTTCACCATCAAATGATATTACTAATACAATCACTAATCCATTTTGATTTATCCATTTATCCTCCCAATCATTATCCTGATCTTTTTCCTTATCTCAATTTATCATACATCCTAATCTGTTTTACTTGCATGATTAACTTGTACGGCTTATGAATACAATGATAAATCCAATGGTTCCATCATCGTCATCATATAAAAAAAACAAACAAATAACCAAAAAAAAACTCAATCAATTGTTGGGGAAAAAAATTGATTCCAACTGTTCATTTTTATAATCACCATGATGATGTTATGGTCACACCACAGCTCCACCCAGAAAGATTGAGTTTAATTATACTCGAGAGGTGAAAGAAGTGCCTTCAGCACTGCGAAAAGCACGAGGTGACTCAAAGGAAGACGGAAGTGTCTTCCCACTATTTGAAGAACCATATTCATCATCATATTCTTCATCTTCATCTTCATCTTCATCTTCATCTTCATCTTCATCTTCATCCTCTGTTTCCACTTTCTCATCATCATCCACATCAACACCATCCACTTCATCACCCACCATAACAACTTTACCCTCCTCAACCGGTCTACTTCATTGTGATATCAAAGGTGTTTATCCAATGCCAGAGGTTAGCATCTATCGATTGGGTGATATGAATGGTACAAATCCTTGGCCAGTAACGGTGGTGGACACAAGGATAGACGAGGAGAAACACCCTCACTCTTATAATGTTAGAAAAGTTAGTTTAATCAATGACGAAACTTTAATAAAAAAGTTTGGCCTTAAACCGTCCATATTTGAATGTCTGGTCACTCTTCAATTACCTAATCAAAAGGTAGTCAAAAGACAGAAAATAATGTACACACCAGGTAAGAATCCCCACCATCAACATTCCCACCCCACTCTCAGTTCATCAATTGTCATCTTGTCTATTATTTTCAAAATTCATCATCATTTCATTTGCATTTACAACAATAATCACATTTGTATCAATTTTTTCATCTCAAACTCACCTTGATTATCATTATTTAGATGATATTGAAAGTAAACATCATGATTAACTGATTATGCTAATCAAATTGTTGATAAAACTGTTGATTGTTTTATTTTCAACACCTTGAGAATCAATTGATTTTGAGAAAGTGATTAACTTTTCTTGTTGGAATCACATTGTTACCATTATTATTGTTTGGTAAAACTGTTAACACAAAAGGAGTTGACAAAAAGCTTGGAATCTGTTGATCATCATCATCATCATCAGCAATATAATGATTGATTATGTTAACAGGTTGACAATTTATTGTTTTATCAACTTATTCATTATATGAGTTAATATATCAACCTGTCATCACAATTGTTTTCATAATTTCTGCTGACAAGTGATTAAATTAATTATCATAATCATATAATTACCATTGACTTTTTTACCCTTAACTTTATCGTATATATTAAATATACTAAACACTTTACCATAGTAATGATAAACTTTAATCAACTCAATTTGATAATAGTAATAAATTAAGGTAACATTTGTCATTAATTGTAATTATCTTGTTTCATTATCAATTTAATTGTCATTAACAATCAAAGTAGGAAACATTTTGTCAACAAAATTTGTCCAATTGTTGGGAAAATTAGTTTAAACTTTCAATTGATTTGTTTTATCATTTTAGTTTTTTAGTTGATTAACTTGATCATCATCAATTTAGTTTATTATTCAGTGGTAATTATCATATTGTTGTAATTAACAAAAGTAATCAATGAATTTTGATTGAGATTTTTGTTTCCAGCTGATTGGAAGGAAAAAAAATAATAACAAAATTAAGTTAATCACTTTCACCTCAATATTGATCTGGTTTTGGTGGCTGGATAATCAAGATGATAAAGATGATTAAATAAATAGGATGAAATTTATTTTTCGAACTGAATAAAGAAATTGAATCTTTATCATCATTATCATCAACCAGTAATCAGATTAACTAACAAAGAATTGGATATGTTCATTTCGAGTTAGAACTTTTTTTTCTTCGTCTGATCGAATCGATTTCTGATAAATATTATACATTGTACTTTATGTCTTCTTAGACCAATAGAGAAAGAGAGAGAGAGAGATAGAGAGAAAGTGAATGAGCATGATGATTATGATGATGAGCACTTGAAGATAATTGAGAAGAGAGAAGCAAAAAAAAGTTCCAACCAAAATCAGAATCAGGATAAAAGTTAATCACAAGTAATCACAGGGAATTAAATGTATTATATTATCATTGTCTTTTCATCATCAAAGTTTTTATTGTTTATGACCAAATTAATGAGAATTGAGTTGAGATTGAAGATTCATATTGAATTATCATGCAAGTACCATGAAAATTATCTACCAGTATAACGAGAAGTACAAAGTAGTGTGTATATACAATATAAGAGAGGAAATAAAAAAAAAATGATGAAGGAGAAAAAAAATTCACTTGGAATATTCATTTTCTCAAATTATTCATTACCCATGGATTCTGAAAATCAGGATGAATAAGTTGAAGGGAAAAGCTTTGAATCATATTGATGATGATGAAAAATTTTTGGAACAATAATCTTACTCAGAATCTGAATATTGATAAAATTATCTAAAGGTTCCCTGGGAGTTGTAATAAAATAATAATTTGATAACGATTCAAATGAATTTAATATCAACTATCATGTTAAATTGTTCATATTCAGATGAATGAATTTTTTTTGCCTCTTCTATTTGATTTTTTTTCCTTCTCATCCTCATCATCATCTTCATCTTCATCTATTTATCTTCCTTGTCTTCATCCTTTAGCCTTCCCTATTCATTTGAAATACTGTTACATCTTCATGTTATTAATGTTATTTAATATGGTTGATGCTTCATTTGCCATGTAATCGGCCATGATATTGACATGATATTTTCTGAATATGACAGTGAATTTCATGGTATCATAATTTTAAATGAAATCCATAATTAGTTTCCTATTCCTTTCCCCTGTTATCTCTTGACAATTAGTTAATCAGTCAGTTTTATATATGAATATAAAGCGCTTTATCATATTAAGTATATAACATGTACTAATCTTCATCAAATTTAAATGATACTCTGGATTTATACATATAAAGATATATATACATTCATGATGAGATAGTAAAGCTCAAGTAGTATTCAGGATGAAGAAGAGGAGGAAAAAAAAGTATCATGAAAATTACATGATAACCAAAAATGCTGAAAGAAAAAAAAAGTTTCCAAAAGGTATAATCATGAAATTAACTATTTATTCAAGTTGAAAAGGGATTCCCAGTGAATGGAAATGAATTAATGAATGAATTAATGATTGACAACAATAAGTGGATTATTTCAATCAATCAATATTAACTAAACCAATCGATAGACATTAATCACATATAATCAACATCAAGAGTAATTAAATTGTGACAATCACATACTCCAAGGATGATGATGATGATGATGAAGATGATGATGATATTATTATATATTTAGTTTGTTAAACCAAATAGTTACATTTGTTTTTGTCCTAATGTTATATAATAAAGATGATGTAGTATTTCAAATGATAGTAACAATTTAATCAACTACATCATTCATTTAATCATCACTTTCATCTCTCAAATGAGATAAGTAATCAACTTTGATTGCCATGATTTAAGTAAATTGGTTACACTGTACAATACATAATATTGTATCTAATCATGAACCAGGAAAAAGTTAAATCTTTTAGGTAACGATTTAAATTGTAATCTGTAAATTGTTGAGCATCTTTCCAGCATTAATACAAATCTGTCTGTCAAAATAGGATAAGCCATTCACTTTAAATGTTACTACTTTCGTATGTGTATCTCAATGGTTGATGTTTATTTGAAGGATTACATTTGAAACTTTCTCATGGAAAACAAATTTCCTCATGTAAAAAGATATGATGAATTCAGGATAATCAGGTGAGCTTGAAAAAAACACTGACATTTACTGATAAACAGAAATGATAACTCAATCAAAGTATCTAAACATGAACCTCAAGTTCAGTCAGAATTTGTCATTTTTAAGAATTGAGTCAATCTTTTTTTTATCGAACTTGATATTTTCTATTTTTTTTTTGCTTCTTTCTTGTGTTTCTACATTGAGAATTTCAGTGTAAATATTATTCCAAGAAAAGAACCATTGACATGATGTCAATTCAGCTTATCCCATGAAAATCTGATCTACAATTTGATTGTAATTCTGATAACACTTTCTGAATGAATAGAAATTAACAATCTCAAATCCCAATCGATTAGCTTAATCTCTTGATAATGGACAAAATTGATGATTTAATCTTTATCTTCTTGATTGTTTCTCTATCTCTCTCTCTCTCTCCCATTGATCACTAATTGTTGTTTGTTTTTTCCCTCTCTTTGGCTATATGTTTATCCTCCCATCATCATCATCATCATCATCATGATAATATAGTTGTAAAAACAATTGAACCCAAGGGCGGTGAATATAAACTTAACCCAAATTTTAGGATAACAATGATAACTACACTTTTGGGAATCCTGATCAGATGTACTTAAAATGTAAAACACTGACCATTGGATTTTATTGTTATTAAATGTCCAGGTTAATGTTATGATAATGAGAATACAATTAAATTGTAAATGTAATCATCTTAATCAAATGGATGGTCTAAGTTTAAATTAAACAATAATGACTATTACATCATTCACAAGAAACAACAAACAAAATCAACATCCAAAAGTGCATCTAACTAAACAATTGACCATTGGAGTGGACACTTTTCAAAGAGGAACCGGACACAATGAGGATAACAAAAGGTCACCAAGTTTATCATCAGATGGAAATCTCATTCTGTTTATTATGTAAAAAATGTCTCTCTCTCTCTCTCTCTCTCTCTCTCTCGTTCTCTGTCTTTCTGTCTATTTCCTCCCTATGTATATTTAAATGAAGATGATAACTGTGAAAGGTTACAATTTAAATTGTGATTCTCTCTCCCTCTCTCAATGATTATCATCATTTTTTTCTGCTGTAAATAGTTTTCATCTGATGATAAATGGGAGAGTGAAACTACTCACTGAAAGAGGAAGATGATGAAGAAGTGAGATGAGCAAAAAATGGAACCTGAAATTGTCATCATGTTTGAATGAGTTTTGATGGAAGAGGAGGAGAAGGATGATGATGAAGAAGATAAAACGGAAACAGAATTGATGATAAAATTCCATACTGTCATCTTCCTTTTTTATCTCTCTCACTCTATCTTACTGTGTGTTCCTATGGAGCTCAAATTTCTCACTCATTCAATTTTGCAAAATCTTTTTTTTCTACCATCACAAATAATCAATGATTACATTATTTAATATCATTTCCATCATTTCCAACATCATCATCTTCAGCATCTTCATCATTATGGTGGCGACATCTGATTATCGGATAATAAAGTTCTCGCTTTCAACAGCTGATTTTTTTTGTTCTAAAACGAGATAACAGCTGACTCTTGTTCTGGATATCAGAACTATTTCCTGATAGATTCTCATGACTATCGGTCAAGTGAAAATTCTGGTCCAAAACATTGTCACCTTTTCGCTGATCTTATTAACTCCTTTTCTGTTATACATATTCATCATTTTCTTTGCAATATTATCAATGATCAATTCACACCTTGCGGCAACAAGAGATTATCCTCTGGACATTAAGTGGACACAACAGATGCAAAAAAAAGATGATCATTGTCATAAAAAAAACCCCAAGAAAATCAATGACAAGAGATGACAAACTCAATACATCGATGGTGATAATAAGTAATATAACTGTAAATGTCGAGGAAAAAACTCCAACCAAAATTGGAGCAACTTTTTCCTTCCCTTTAATCATTGAGATTAACAGATGTAAAAATGAATAAATTTATTATTTTGCTCTAAATTTGAATGTTTCATTGATAATCTTAATCCATAAATAATAAGTTTCAATCAAATTCTCACAACAATTGATTCAAAAACAACAACAACAATTGACTCGCGTTTATGATAAGTTATATCATGGAAAACCAAACCAACAATTAGATTATCCCTTCGGATTATAATAAAGAGACATGATGTTATCTTAACAGTTTTAGATAACAAGGGAAATTTAAATCGCAGTTCAAGGCGAAATGGATTAACAGGACAAAAGTTGATAAGCTTTTTTTTTAGTTCGAAGAAAAAAAATTAGTACTTTAACTTGAATACGATTCACTAGATGGAAGCAGGTTAAATGTTCAAGTTCGTGAGTTCGTCTATTGGGTTAACTGTGGTTGAGAAATAGTTGCTCGATTATTATTATTATAATATCTATGATATAGTTGACAGAATCCGATAGAATCAAATGTTAGAAGAAAAATATAAACATAGAATAAAGAGAAAAACGAAAACCATATAACATTCGAGGAAATGTTCGAGGAAAAGAAAAAGTTTTACAGTTATTGAATTCGAATTTGTTTTATTTTCTTCTTCTTTTTTCAGATCAAATCGAACATGAGAAAATACATAATTTCGATACTTATAATTTACCTCTCGAGTTTTACCTTCAATTTTTGTTAATCAGTCGAAATGGTTTAAAGTTTTATTAGCTTAAATTGCGAATTGATTGTTTATGTTATCAGAAAGTGAAATTTGTTATGTAATGTGAAACTTTTTGTTTCTGTTTAATTGTTAAATTTGTGTCGACATAACTTAATTTAAATTCGTTATAACAATTAACTGGACCAATGGATTCACCACCTTATCAAAGTCGTGTCTTTTGTGTTGATAATCAAAGTATCAACGTTTTTGATGATACTAATCAAAATGATGATGAAAATGATGATAAATCAATGATTAAAGTTGATGGTGAGAGTGATGATTATTGTGATAAATCATATTACATTGGATTAGATAATATTTTCCCTGACAATATTACCACTAATTGTTATCAACATGAGATTCAAGGATTTACAGGATCCCAAATATTATCACATCAGAATCAAGTATCACCTTTAAATTGTGATTTATTGACATCAACAAATTCAATAATTGCTAATCAATCAACAATAATTCAACCAGCATTAGCAACACCATCAAAACAATATCAACATCAACAACATGCTCAACAATTACTTCACCAGAATTAGTTTCAGGATATCAACCTCAGCATTCATCATCTTCCGAGTCCTCAATGTGTTCATACATAAATCAACCACATCACCATCACCACCTTCATCATCATCATCAACAAAATCGACAACAACAACAACAACAACAACATCACCATAATCCACACACTCAATCAACATTAATCTACAATAATAATAATAATTTAAACTCGACAATTTATGATTCCAATTCCATCCAAGAGATTCGAGTAGCATCATTACCACTCTGTGAATTTTATCCTCCTTCCTCATCGCCCTCATCACTATTGTCCACAAATCACTCCCACCATCATGGTCATCACTCTCATTATCATCCTCATGGTCATTCATATTCTCATCATTTGCCACCACAACCAATAGTATCCTCAGTTTCTTCATCATCTCCACCGCCACCGACACCGCAATCGGTGCCCACAATCCAGATAAGCTCACCTTCCCATTTAGAAAGTCCTTACCATGAGCGATCACAATCATCTCTCTCAAATCAACAATCTAATCAATTATCTAAATCTTTATCATCTCGAGGATCAATATTATCAAGATTAAGATCAATTCTATCAAATTATCTTCCCTTCATCATAGTTACATCAATTCTGTCAGTTGCAGTGGCACTTTTAATCTCAGCATCAATCATATATTTTCAGAGTAAGTTTTGTATTATATCAACTCCACAATTTGTTGATTTAAAATCGATACTTAAAAGTAAATATCAGAACAAAATAATAACAATAAACAATAAACAAATTCGATATTCTAATAGAATTGTAAATTTTTCAAAGAGACAAAAAAGTTCTAACGATCGTTAGACTAATCATTTCCAATTTCGTTCCAATATTAATTATAACGATCATCATAATTATCGGTTACGAATATTTTTTTTTCCTTCTCAATGTATTTACTTGTATTCACTTTGTTATTATTTTTTACTTCTTCTAATTGAAAATGATTAATCACTTTTAATCAAAATTAATTGTTGACAATCAACTGATTATTATCATCATCTTTTTCTTAACAGTTCCAACCGGGTACAAAGAGTATAATTGTGATCGAGTTAATTGTAGTAATCAATCAACTTGTATTCGAGATGATAATTCGGGTGAGGAAAAGTGTATCTGCAATGAAGATTGTCCATTGGTGAGCATCATCATTTTTTTTTATTCTTAATCATGATTAAGTTGATCATTAGATAAATTGTTTGCTAATCATCAAGGGTAAATACAACAATCTAATAGTGTATATGTTAAGATATTTAACTTGATTAGTGATTAAAAGTTAATGAGTTAAAGTTTTGTTTTTTTTTCTCATTGTTCAATTACAAAACTCGTTGTTATCATAGATTAATGGTGATAATTAATAATTAACAAGACAAACAAAATGATTGATTAATGATAATTAAGAGATTAGATTTACCACCAGGTAAACATATTAAGAACTCAGTTAATTATCTTATCAATTTTCTAACACAATTATTTAAAAATTTAGATTCTAATCAAAGTTTATCTCTTTACAATCAAATTTTCATCGATTATCATTTTCATCTTCTTGCATCTTCATCATTTCCGTTTCCGTTATAATTTTCTTTGTCAACCTTTGTCTATCAGTCTCTCCTTTCTTACCTATTAAAATGCTTCTATAATTACAATTGTTTATTCAACAATTAAAATTAATTGTTTGTTTTCTATCTTTAATTTAATTCCTTTTATTTTCACTCACCTTGGTTGAATGGTTTAGTTTTCATGATTCAATTTGATGATTACCTTGATTGTTGATTCAATTATTTTTCTCATGTTTAACTTTACCTTTTTTTTCATTGTGCATCACTGATTAACTTGTAAACGATTTTGGTGATTAACAACAACAAAAACAATCTCATGATGATCATGATCATCATCATTAACATGGTGATTTGTGAATTAATTTTCATGGTTAATCAACACCCGAAACATTTCAAATTAAAAGGATGGTCGTAATGTTTGTGGTACCGATGGATTAACTTATCCAAATGAGTGTCTACTTAATCTTAATTCTTGTCAGAAAAATATAATCATTTTAATAGCAAATTATGATACTTGTGATGTTTGTAAAAATGTTCATTGTAAATACGGAGCCGTTTGTTCAAAGGGTTCATGTATCTGTCCCACCGAGTGTCCAAACACCCTGGAACCCGTTTGCTCATCAGATGGATTAACCTACACCAATGAGTGTCACTTGCGACATTCAATTTGCTCAAACGGAATTCCTCTGACAGTTTCTTATTATGGTGAATGTCATGAGATGAGAAGCTCAGAAACCAGTGGTGAGAAAAATTCATTAATCCCAATTAACGTGATTTTCATTACAATATACTAATTATCGATTAGCTTTTATCAATGATTGATTTATTTCATTAAAAGAAATCATAATGTTCGACTTGATGTTAATGATAATTAATCATTGAACAATATCGATAAATATTAATCATTATCATTAAGAAACTGATTGTGAAAAAAATAATTATGAACAAAATCCTAATCCTTATCCAATTAGTTGATATTTAAGAGACTATTTATAATTTGAGATTCTTATTTTATCTCTTGAATATTGAACCATTTGAAGTTGATGGTTTTTTTTCATTGAATTTTTCATGAATCAACTGAACTTTTTTTCTGTTGCTACTCAGAACTCATCGGCGGGGTAGGCTATATTCAAACCTGTGATCCAAATACTTGCCTTTATGGTGGTACCTGTGATTATGATAATAAAGGGATACCCCAATGTCTTTGCTCTTACTCGTGTCCGTCCCAAGAATCTGATGAAGACCAAGTTTGTGGGAGTGATGGTGAGTATAAACTTCCGTATCCTCTTTTAGTGAGTGCAAGAGGACGGGTCAAGATGACAAATTCTAATTGAATTTGGTTGTCCTTTTAATTGTTTTGTAATTTGTCTTTTATTTGACGAGTTAAATATTTAACTTTCAATTTATACTTTTGTTAGCATAATCAATTATTCAATCAACTAATTACATGAAATTCAGGGTTAGTTCAGAGAGTGTGAGGGAGAGAGATTGGGAAAGGGATTGGAATGAAATTGAATTTGAACAGATGAGATGATTTGAATTTTTGGTTGGTTCGAAATTCTGTCCATCATGAAGATGATGTAAATTCAGCAAAATGATGAGTGAATTTCCGTTCTATTTGTATTTTTAATGTTTATCATGATGATCTGAAGAAAAAAAAACATGATGGTTACATTGAACATCTTAAGATAACCATGAAAAATGCTGAAGTTTCATTTCTCAGAGGAGGATAAACATGAACAATAATCTTTGCAATTTTCTAGTAACAATATTTACTGACAAGTATATACATTATACACACATGAGATTATCACAAAAGATTATCATGAGGGAGAAGGAAAAATTTCATCAAGAACAAGAGAGAATCAGAAAGTATCATGAAATTCAGTTGAAAATCTTCATTGATATCAAACTACTGAGACTCAACTTGAAATCACCATCTTCAAGAAATAAAGTAAAAAATGTAATAACTTGTATCATTTCAAGTACGAGTGATAACTTTTCATTGAAACTGATTTCAGGGAATAACAGATTATCAGGATTATGATGATTATTTCAAGGGAAAAATTGATCGAGACAAAAAATTGAATCATTATTATGAGATAATATCAACAATTTAGTAAGAAAACTAAGTTTCGTATATATTTATCATGCTAACACTTTGATATTGTTTCAAATTTATCAGAATTGATATCATTGTTTTTATTTTTTGATTCTTCAATAGTTTAATGTTATCATGAAACTTTTTTGCTCAGACTTTTTTTTCACCATGAAACTAAAAGGAGACCTAATTTATAATCAGAGTGACAAGATAATGCTTTTGATGTGTAAGCATCTCAATAGATATTTTTAGTTTTTATTGATACAAAAAATTGAAAGATTGAAATATGAAGATGAGGGAAAAAAAAGTTCTCAATGATTCAGAAAGTTCTGAGTAAAGTTCAGTAAAAGTAAGTTTGTTTTTCTCTCTGTAAGATGATATCATTTTCATTCTGGTTTTTTCATCCCAAGAAAAAAAAACAACATTTCTTTTCAATCTGTTCAGTAGAAAAAAGTTCAGAAAAGTTCAGTTGTACCAAAATCGAAATGAACATGAACTTTTTTTCTCGATTTTTTGTCCACATCCAAACTCGAAGAAATTTATATTAATACATTACGAAATATTGATTCAACTTGAAGTCGAAATTCGTGATTTTGAAATGATTTGTTTTTCTCTCTCGAAAATTTCATCTCATCAGATCGACTAATTGTCACGATGGTTTTTCTTTCAGGTCGTTTGTACGAAAATGAATGTAAACTCCAAGAAGAGGCTTGTCGTCGACAACAAGACATTAAACCCGAAAATTTGATTTCATGTGAAGAAAGTAAAATAATCCCATGTAATGGCGAAGATGAACCGTTACCTGGGCCTCAGTTTACTTGTGATACCAATGAGACTAAAGTGACCAGTGTTGATGAAAATACCGGTAAAAGTTTATCATGTCCATCTGAAAGTTATTGCCATAGAACTAGTCACTTTGCTAAATGTTGTCCAGTTAAAAGTGAATCAGGTTTAGTGATTAACTGTAATAAAACTGATCATGGTTGTTGCCCTGACGGTTTAACATCTGCCCCGGGGCCAAATTACTCTGGTTGCCCATCAAAGTGTAACTGTAATCGACATGGTTCTTATGCTCTTACCTGTGATCCAAATACTAATCAATGTCACTGTAAATCGGGTGTAGGGGGTATTCAATGTGATCGATGTGAACCAGGGTATTGGGGTTTACACAAGATATCAGAGGGTAATGCTGGATGTATCCGTAAGTAATTCATAATATTAAGACTCTCTGAATCTATGAATTTATCATGATCATCTTTTTTTTCTCATGAATTTCAAATTTTTTTCTCTTCCCATGAAAACTTTTACCTTTATCCTTATTCTTACCTGTAAATATACCAACAAAAAGCTTGTTCTTGTAACATGAATGGATCAGTTCGTGATGATTGTGAACAAATGACCGGTCGATGTATATGTAAACATGGACTCCAGGGTATGAAGTGTAATGTTTGTCCAAAAGATTCAGTTCTAACCCCTGATGGATGTTCAGATAGTAAGTTTTTCTTTTCATTATTTTCTACCATTATTATTGGAATAACTTTGATAAATTCTGAGGTCAGAATCTCCATCATATCGACAAAAACTGTTTCTCTTATCCTGATAAATGATAAACTAAAGATTATATCGAGATTTCTATTGATACATTTTAAAACTTTTTTTTCTTCATCTTATTCATGATTCTTTTTCCCTGGTCAGTTCTGAATCGTTTTTCACCTTTTAGGAAAATCTGACCCTTTGGTATCAAGAACAGAAAATAATAACAATTATCTGATGACCTTAAAAGTTGATTCTAAATGTCAACCTATTGATGTAACTCTATTGTGTCACCTTGGTCCTTTTTTTCATCATCTTGCTTCCTGATTCTTTTTCAGTGTCTCTCTCTCAGTCAGAATCCTAGTTTCAGTATTAATCTCACCATGAAAAGATAACCCATCGTCTTTAAATCATGATGTCCATGGTATCAACATCATTTATTTTAATCCTACGAATCAAGAATTGATCTGAAAGTTCATCCAATAAACATGAGGAAAATGTTCAACTTTTAGTTAAGAGAAAAATATATTTCATGATGAGATAATATCTTTCAATAATAATAATATCCCACCCACTGAATAAATTACATGCACGATTATCACTATAATTGAATCTTGAAGGGATAAAATTACTCACACAACTTTTTTTCCACTTCTTCAGGAAGTTGAATGAAAACAAAAAATTCGTTTTTGTCTTTACTATCTCATATTCAGAGTAATGAGAAAGTTATTCAGAACTTTTTTTGTTTCAATTTACCGTCTAAATATGTGATCATTTATCATGATGATTTTTTTATTCTCAGAACTTTCTGAAAGGATTAATGATACAGATAAACTAATTTCCATGATGATGATGATTTTGTTTTATTTTTCCTTTATTTCAGTTTCATTGACTAAAGTTCATCCAGGAACATGTTCAGACCTTGAATGTAAATTTGGAGCAATTTGTCATAATATTACTGAAGATTCAGTAAAGTGTATCTGTGATATTAAATGTTCATTTGACCAGGCACGTAAACGATTGGTCAATTCGGGTGCTGAACGGATTTGTGCCTCAGATGGAGTAACATACCCGTCAGAATGTGGACTTCGGCTTTATGCTTGTCGAATGCAAAAAAATCTGACCGTCCTTTATCAAGGTGAATGTTCAATCTATTCAAATAATAGCAGTTCAACAACAATCAGTGATCACTACCATAGTTTATCGTCTTCATATCTCTCATCATCTTCATTATTATCAACAACAACCGCAGTGTTTGTATCATCTTCATCTTCATTGGTTACATCGTCTTCATCAACAACAACACCAACATCTATCTCCTTCCCACCGACAACAATACCTTCATCTTCAATATTTTCTTCAGTCTCACCTTACTCACCACCCACACCATTAACATCAACAATGTCTTCATCAGGCTCAAGTGAATCTTTTACCCAGAATCCATTGAAAAGATCAACAGTTTATAAGACGACACTTCAAGATTCTGAGAATCCTTCAGTTTATTCAGAGAAACCATCTCATGAGCCAAGTGTATCATCTTCAAGTTCATCATCATCATCATCATCATTATCATCACCTAATGAGAATGAAGTTTCAAGTACAAAACCAACATCAATATTATTACTCGATAATGCGACTGAAGTTAAGATGATGATACCACCGATTAAATCAATTTCCATTCCATCTTTTTTCGGTGAATCTTTCATCGAAATGCCTCGATTAAATGCTTACACTCGATTGTCCATCGAACTAGAATTTCTGACCTTCTCCGAAAATGGTTTACTCGTTTATAATGGACAAACATCGAGTGGCGAAGGTGATTTCATATCGATATCAATCAAAGGAGGTAAATTATATATTTCTCTTGAACTTTCAAAAGTTCTCACTCAGAATCCAATCGCAATTCAATTGATAACAAAATAATTCAGCAGAATATGAAAATTTCACCTTAATCTCATGTAGATTGATGTTTCAATTACATGTTGATGTAAAATGATTAACCTTTTTTTTCCTGTAACATTATTTCATTTGCATATTTAACTTACTAATATATTTGAGTGTAAATTATTCAGTTTCATGATTAACATGAATCAACATTGATTTAATTTTTAAATTTTCTCTAGCATCATGGAATCATGTTGAACATTAACTACTATTTGAGAGAGATTTTTTTTTCATCTCTATTATTATCATCATCAATTTCTGAATAGGTTATCTTAATAATAGTAAGAGTATGGATTAAGATGAGATTTGTTCAAGTCTTTTTTTTTGTTTCGTAATGAAAATTAATCTTTCCAAAGTAATTAATTAAATTGCTGCTCAAATTTTGACTCTAAATTATATTAAATGCAAACTTAAACCTCTGCTAATCAACAAGATTAATAAACAATCAACTTTGATGATCAGTTGAAGTAATTAATTAATGCAAATACAATGTATTCAGTTGATGATGATTAGTATTGATTATCCAAGTTTGCCATTAACAAGATAATTTGTTAATTGTTTACATGTATTGAGACTCTGAGGATAATTAAAGTGAAAGTAATTTGCATAAAACTGTCATCAAGTTTGTAAAATTGCAAATTAGCTTTATGATGAATAACAATTAGTAAATTGTGACAGAATTGTGATTTCTACAGAAAGATAGAAATGTTGACAAGAGTTAACATTTTCTGTCACTTTAAGGAATCAATAACTGTTCAGGAATATGAAACTTTCCATGAGATTGAGGAAGTAAGAATTTCTTAGTCAGCTGATTTATCGTATCAATTGAAATACTTGAGATGGAGGTGAAATTGTATCAAAACAATTTGATGATGATCATTGATTTCGATAACAATTGAAAAGATTGTTAGTTAATTGAAGATTTTCTCAAAATTTTGATTGATCTTTTCGTTTGTTTCCCTTTTCAGGATACATTGAGTTTCGTTATAATCTTGGATCTGGAACTGTTATCCTAAGATCAAGTGAGAAAATATCAACTCGAGAACGAGTTAAACTGGTAGCTAAGCGTTACCTTCGTGATGGCCTCTTAACAGTTGATCGTCAGCGAGATGTGGCTGGTTCAGCTGAAGGAGATCTGAAAAATTTAGATTTAGCCGAAAATTTGTACATTGGACATTTGATCGCGATAAATAATTCAAGTAAAATCTATGATAACATTGGGATAACAAAGGGTTTCATTGGTTGTCTTTATTCAATGAGAATTGGTCGTAATCCAATTAACTTGACTTACCCTGGTTCCAATGATATTATCCGAATGGTCAATGTTATTGATTGTAGTGAGTTACCATGTTTCTCAAGTTCAAAATATAATAATAGTGAATCTTTATCATGCTCATCGTCAACATCACCATCATGATCATACGCCTCTTGGTTATTATTGGTCATTCTCATCATCTGTCTGCTATTGGATAACGTTGTCCATTCATGGTAACCAGAATGAAGCTCATCCAAATCCATTGGAATCTTTTATGTTTTGTTTTGCTTTCCTTTTTTTTATCATTTCAAGTCTTTCAATGAATTCTCATCACCATGAGATATAATGATGATCATTATTACTTGCAATTCATTCACACACTTACAAGCGTAAGGTAATCAATCAACACGAGAGATAAAACCATTTCCGCCTTATAGTCTGAATGTAATAATATCAGTTGATATGACTGATTGAACAGACAGAAAAACTGAATTCCTGTGATCTTATATCATGAAATATATCTACGGGTTATATTGCATTTGGAATCATATCAAACATGATGATGATGATGATTACAAGCAAACAGTAAGGAAAAAGCATCTTCATCAGAATCAATATCATGAAGTGAAGGGAAAAAAAGTAAGGATAAAATGGATTACATCAAGATGAAGGAATCAGAATCGTGGCAGAAAAACATTCCAATATTAAAAGGTAAGAAATATAATCATTTACACCCTGAAGAAAAAAAAATGGAACGAAAAAATCAGGAGATAATCAGAACTCTCAGAGGGAAAAAAACTGTTGAATGTGTTTGTGTGGTTCTTTTCATGATAAATATCATATTCATCACCGATGTATCTCAGTTTTCCCATTGTTGTACTGGTATAAATACTCAGAATAGTAAATGAATATATACTGAGTGGAAAAAAGATTCATATTTTACTCAGAACTTTTTTATCATCATGAACATATGATTGTTCAATAATTATCATAAGATTTCACCTACTCTGGAGGTTTATCATGATGGAGATATGGGATAGATGAATACACTGAATACAAAGTTCATTTCTATTCATGACAATTTTTTCTCATGCTTAACCTTTTCTTTTCTACCTCATATTGATCTTCTTATCCACCTCTTCACCACCTCCTCCTGTTTTCCATGACACTAGGAGTGGGTATTGAAACTCTCAGCTTGTATTCCCATAATTACAATACTGTCATTGTTGTTATTCAATTTTGATTGTGATTGTGATTAAATTCAATTACATTTCTTGAGTTTGTCTCATCACTTTATCCCCTGACTCCTACTTTGTTTTATCTACTTCCGTCTCCTGAATCTCCTTGAATTGTGTAAATGAAATTATCTTGTGAAAAGTGATTCTCATTTCAAATGATTTTCCGGTTCTTAATAATAATAATGATAATATTACACATTATGAATTCTAGAGAATGCAAAGTATTATCATGGTAATTTATCATGAAAGGAGTGATAAAATTCCGGAAAATAATGAATGAAAAAAATACTCAACAATCTTAGGAAATTGTGAATGAGGAGGTTTGCATGATGGGTGAATATAAGATTGAATTAAAGTTACACAATAGGAGTTTAATAATTACTCTCATTAACTTTGATTATCATTATTATTCTGATCATCATGAGAATCATAATTATCCTCAATTCTTGGAATCAATGGTGAAAGTATTCATTTTGTTCACTTGAATTGATTCCAAAGTCTCAGAGTTTTCGAAGATTTGGAAAACTTTGAGAATAGTAACTTTCAATATCTATTCAAATGTTGAATTGTCTTGAATTTATCAGAATGAAATTTCGAGTTCATTCTCGACCATCGGAAGCTCAGTTATCTATCCATGGAGATCCATGATGATTAATTGATTCATAATTTCAATGGTGAATTTGAGGAAATTTGATAATTGGATTAATTTTACTTCAACAGAAAATTAACTTTTGAAATAACATTCAAATTAGATTCAGAAGATTCTGATAATTTTATTGAAAGAATTGAAGTGAATTTTGTTTTTCATTATTTCTGAATTTCCAATGAGCTTCTCTGGAAATTCAGTCTAAGACTGGAAACTTCATGGAGATCTTGGTGAGGTTTTGTATGAGAGTTTGAACAATGTTCATTTCTTTGGGTCTTTTTTACCTATTCCATGTTTTTCCAATTGATTTTCAGGGGAAAATAAAATGTTGAAAGTTTTCAGAACTTTTTTTATTCTTAATTTATGTTGAAATATTTTTCTATTACATGATAATGAGACTGTTTCATGACATTTAGATGATTCTTTTTTTTTGAGTTGATACAATTATAACAGTCTGAATAAAAGGTGAACATGAACATACAGAATTAAATTGAAGTAGTAACAAAATTACAATTAGAATTGATTAACTTGTGAATAAAATTTCATTGCATGAGATTGAATCAGAACTTTGTTCAGAATGTAACAGAAAATGTGTTATTCAATTAAGGTCCCGAATCCTCTGGTGATTTTTACTACATCGTGATAAAAGTAAAATGATCAACTATGATAAAATTGTTACCCTAAAGGTAAAATTGAATAACTGTTGAAGTTGATTAATTGATTGTTGATGATTTGAATGATGATTACAATTAGACTACAAATGGGGTTAGAAAAAAGTTCCAACCTTTGATTCAGTGTTCAAGGCTTTTTAATTGACGTTGATCAATACTCGATAACTGATCATGTTTCAGTCAAGAGCTCATGAGAAAATTCATAAGTCTTGGTGAGTATTGATCCCTGAAAACCAAAGTAATGTAATTATTTCAGTAATTAAATGAATCACAATCACCATTAACTTAATCATGAAACAAGGAGATAAATTAAACGAAACAGTTGAACCTTAATTTACATTGGAAAATGAGAGAAGCAAAAAAAAAGTTCTGAGAATTCAGAGTTTTTTTCTCTTCTTATTTTCCTTACCAATAAATGTAAAGAAATCAAATCTCATTCCTAGAATATTGTTATTACTCTGAATTTGATTCTGATGGTGGAGGGAAAAAACTTTCACCACTTTAACGTATTTACTGTTATTATTATCATGATAATTGCATGAAAGGTGTACAGAGTAAGCGATGGAGAAAAAAGCAAAAGAAAAACGTTGAACTGAAAAAAAAGTTCATGAGAATGAAAATGAAAATGAGAAAATAAAAAGTTCTGAAGTTTTCTCATTGGAAAGAAAAGTTTTTTTTTACCTCATCCAAATAAAGTTCATGGGGAATTGAATATACTTTTGGCAATACTGGTCAATGTTATGCATATTCACAGTGGAGATGAAACTGAATTTGAATGAACGATTTTAATATCAAATTGATAATATAATGAATTCAGGGGAATGATAATATAAATATTTTATAATGAATGAACTTTTTTCTTTTCTTTTGTTGATTCAATTAGCTTTCTCTCTCTCTCTCTCATTCTCTTGAATTTTCATCTGAATGGCTAGAGAAAAATTCTGAGCGAAAAGTTCTGAAGAATTTTTTTCTTGCTATATACATGAATGTACTTTCTATCTCAGAACTTTTACTTGGAACAAAATCGATAACTATTCGAATGGTATTCTGTGTGTATATATATTTACTTTTGTTTTCTTTTATCGTCTAGGGAAGTGATAGAAAATTTCTCAAGAAAATTTCATTTGTTCCTTCCCCTTGTGTTACTCGTCAATTCACCCGAGGGCATCAGTTTGGGGTGGTAATGGTGTGGGTAGTATATTGGTGAACTAAAATATTGTCTTGAAAATGATGGTAAGATAGTTCTGCTGAAAGAATGAGATAATTTTGTTAACATGAACTGATAGAGGAAGAAGAAGGGAAAAAAATCTCATTCCATGATGATTCTCAAGAGGTTATCATGATTATCAGAGTTATTATTATCTTGATGTTATTATTAAAGTGAGAAGAAAAAAATCTCTGAGTGAAAAAAAATGAAATTATCGTCAATCTGTTAGATTTCAATTCTGTTGATTAAAGTTCATCAGAGGATAAAAATTGATTCTGTTAATCTTCAATATGTTTGTCTTTTTAATTTAACAATTGAAACAATTTAATTTGATATAAAATCGAAATGAAAAAAATGAATATAACCTCCTACACACCGATTAAGCTTCACACACTCAATTCCAAGCTCCAAGTTCATTGATTTTCATGAGTTTTATCTTTGCATCGTTAATATCTTATCAAGAATTGATGATGAATCCCTTTTTATCATTCTTATCATTATCTCCACTCTCTCATCATAATAATGATGTGATCTCACTTACTCTCTTTCTCTCTCGTTCTGTTGATTCTTAGCTTCTGTCTTGATCATCATTATCATTCTGCTCTTTCATCATCACACCCGAAATCATTGCCATTTCCTTAAGCTGTTTTTTACTTCGTAATTGATTTTATTCCCCCAATCTGTTCATCTATTACTTTATCTCTTCCTCATCATCATCATCATCATCTCTCTCTCTCTTTTCTCTCTATTAATATCTTATCTTGCTTCCCCTTTTCCTCTGGTTATGCTTTTTTGATTCTATTTCATCCGAGTATCATCTGAATATAATAGGCAATACTCTTGAGATACAAACATGGTGAAAAAGATGATGAGAAGTAAGTAAATTGAAGAGGGTGTGGATGTTTCTGTGTGTATACATGTAGAGAGAGAGAGAGAGAGAGAGAGAGAGAGATAGGGTGATGGAGGATGGATAAGAGTGGTGATAATGATGAGAGAGTGAAATGTAAAGGGAGTAAGAAGAAACCTTTTCGTCTACATTTGTTTCGCTTCAGTTGGAACCTGAACAAAATTTTTTTCTCAGAATTTTTATCTTCTATCTCTCTCTTTCTTTTGCTACCCATAGACTTATTATGATTCCATATTTTAACCTTTTTCTCTTTATTTTTCTCTCTTCATGATTTCGAGCACTTTGAACTTCTGTCATATCCCCCTCTTCCAATGCTCTACATGGATGCTCTTTATTCATTCTTGTATTGAGAAGTGTTCACCATGATCATACATTCATTCTGTCTGAATTAACGATTTATGTTCATCTTTTTTTCATTTGTTTGCTTTTTCATTCCAATGTCTCTCATTTTTCCTTTCATATCTTTTACTTTTGGTGTCTCCATGAATATACAAAGAATCCCTGTAACCAATGTAATTTCTAATTGATGAGAATCATTAATGATAATTATAAACCTCTGAATTCTTGGTTTAGATGGAAATTATCATTCCCTGTTTAACCAATAGATGTATTGTTATCAGAGGCTTGTTCATGTTTCCAAAATCCTCCTACTCTTTTCAAGTTGAAATCTCTCGTTCTCTTTCATGATTATCCAGTGAATAATGTATTGAGTAAATTTCTCATTCATCTCATCTTTTATCTTCCTAAATCATCATCAACATGATGGTGATACAGGGTTGGCAATCTATCTTTAGACAATTTAGTTCACACATAACTTATTGATTGTGCCCGTGTATCCAATTTTAGTCCAACTTTGTCAGATCATTGTGATGAAAATGCTCAACATGAAGGGTTGAATTCTTTCATTTATTCAACCCTTTTCATGGAATTGAGGTCTTTAACGGAGTGTCCAACATATTCGAAAAATGTGAACCTTCTCAGAATGTTATATTGTCAACCCTGTACTTTTAGTCTATCAAACTGTCTAGATTCTCAACTACTA